ATTATTCCTAAGATCTTGGGGTGGGGGGTGGGGGGCTAGGGGTGGAACTTGGGGTCCTTTAAGGCCAACGAGAGTCTTCAAACAGGACTTTCCAAACTCAGCAACTCTTAAGACTTCTGGACTTCAACTCCTAGAATTCCTTAGCTGGCCCTGGAGAATTCTAGGAGTTGAAGTTCATAAAATTGCTGAGGTTGACAAGGATTTCTTTAAGGGTCCTCCCAGGGCTGGCTGGGGGATTCTGGGAGTTGAAGTTCCACAGGTCTTGCCAAGTTCGGAGAGCCTCGGTCTAAAACAAGTGTTTCGCAAGCTGAAGATACTGTACTTTTCGGAGTATAAGATGCACCTTTCCCCCCAAAAAACAGAGGGTGAAAATCTGGGTGGGTCTTATACACTGAATACAGCTTTTTTTTGGCCTATCAAAATCCCACCCCCTGTGCAAAAATGGACGTACAAAGGGTTTGGGAGGCTTGCAAAGTGCTACTGGGGGCTGGGGAGGGCAAAAAGGAGCCTCTTCAAAATCATGGTGCGTCTTATACTCGGATGCGTCTTATACTCCAAAGAATACGGTAGGTGGACCTCAATTCCAGAATGGCTCAGCCAAGAGGTATGGACTGTCCCAGAATTCCCTGGCCAGGCCTGGAGAATTCTGGGAGTTTGAAGTCCGTAGGATTGTCCCAGAAATGAAATATTCTTGGTGGGAGGAGGCGTTAGGGAGTCTCCGGGAATTGAATTGGGGAAACCGAATGGCAGGAAGTTGTAGGGTTGATGATGCCTCTTTCTTGTGCCCTAACAGGGGGAAGTCAATAGATGTGGAGCCCTTAGAGAGGGGACTTGGAGACAAGCGCTATGAGCCCCCTCCTCAAGTTACTCCCCCGGTGCCCTCCGTCCAGTATACCCAGCCTCAGTCCATCAATAACCCCATCGTGTCTCTTCAACCCAAGTCGGTCCTGGCTGACGGTGAGCCCCAGATTTGTCCTGCATCCACTGAAATATTTGTGTCTTCCGTTTTGAGGATTGTGGGTAGCTACACACTTGATCTTAGCCAAAAGGCCGAGAAACGATGGATTGTGGGTAGCAAATTGGGCATGGGAATCCCTCGTGGGATGATGGTTTGCAACAAGGAAAACACAGGCCTAGGTAGCCTTGACTCAGGGCCACCATCGAGCCCAAAATGTGGTTAAATTTGCTAAGCGGCACAATTGATTTTGCCCTGTTTTACGACCTTTCTTGTCACCGTCGCTAAGTGAATCGCTGCAGTGAAGTTAGGAACATGGTTGTTAAGTGAATCTGGTTTTCCCATTAACGTGGCTTGTCAGAAGGCCACAAACCGTCCATAAGTACATGCGGTGGCCAAGCGTTTCAGTTTTGATCTCGTGACCATGGGGACGTTTCCACGGTCGTAAGTCTGAAAAACACTCGTAGCAATCACTTTTTCCAGTGCCGTTGTCACTTCGGTCACTATTTGAACGGTGGTACATCCAGAACTACCTGTGAGATCTGACTTTAGCAGAAAGTCAAAATCAAATCAAGTTTATTGCAGTCCAAAGACCAGAACGAATAAAAAACACGCCATACATATAGCATTAAAAATCCTGCAATGAAATAAAATTAAGAAGGGGGAAATATTAAAACTAATTGCTTACAGAATGAATATAAAGAACAGATTAGAAGTTTTACTAGTCAAAGACCAGAACGAATAAAAAACACGCCATACATATAGCATTAAAAATCCTGCAATGAAATAAAATTAAGAAGGGGGAAATATTAAAACTAATTGCTTACAGAATGAATATAAAGAACAGATTAGAAGTTTTACTAGTCAAAGACCAGAACGAATAAAAACACTCCTAGAATATCCAGTTAAAAAATTCTAGAACAAAATAACAAATCTTGAGGTCTATTATTAAAGCCACGATTTGGCATCCGTCAGTTGGCAGAAAACCTGATTGTCCAAATCTCTTTCTAGAAGAGCCAAAACTGTGGCATGATTGTGTAGAATCGGATGAACTTAATTTTTGCTGCTGCTTTTTTTTAATCCAAAGTTCTTTTTTTTATTTTTTTAATAGAAATTTACACATACTATAGAAACAAAGGGTTGACCGGATCTTATCCTTTTACATCCTCTCATTTACATCATAATCCATTTTACATCATAGCTTGGTTTTCGCTTTCAGCCAAATTATTTTCTCCCATTATTTTCCATTTTTTTTAACTGTTTTTTTTCTTAAGACATAAACAATATATTCAATTTCCTCTTCAAAGATTACACCAAATTATCATTTCATATTTCTCTCTTAGTCTATTTTACTATTAACAACATATATCCTCTAATTAAGTTTTAACATAGAGAGCATTTCTTTCAATTTTTGCTACAATTAACAATATACTTTAATTTCTTTATTTCTTAATTAGTTACATAACAACACCAATCATACTACTATCCTCTTTACTAATACGACTCTTTTCCCCTTTCTTCCTCTTTTATCCATTTTCTCTTGGCCTCTCACGAATTCCACTTTTGGTCGTTTTTCTTCTTCTCCCCCTTTCTCCTCCTCATTTTTCTTTTTCCTGTTTTTATGGTTATAGTATCTTTTCTTCGGAGGATTCATTTTTATTATCCTGGTACCCTTTTTTTTTAAGGAGGTGGGGTGGGGAAGAAATGAGACCGATCACTGCCTGATTCTGACGCAGATTTGTGGCAATGGTGGGGTCTTCACAGGGACTTAGTACAGCCTTCCACCCTGCAACCAATGGTGCCATGGAGAGCGCAAACGCTCTCCATGGCAGAGGTCTGTTGGTAGTCAATGTAACACAGGTAGTGTTACATTGACTACCAACAGACTGATTGGGCTGAATTCTTCCCCTTTGCCAAAGTTGCATATAACAATGCAGTGCACAAAAGTACAGGGTTTACCCCATTCCATGTGGCTACAGGGGAGGGGGGAGTTTGTCCCAATTCCGGAGTGTCCCCGGAACCTGACATGCAACTTGGACCTGCAGATTTTAAAATACTGCTTTTTTTCCCCCCTCTTGTTTTTTTAAAACATATTTTATTGCCACCCCATCTATGCCAGACTTCCAGAATTCCCCCCTGTCCAAACCGGAGCTGCCTCCACCTCAGAACAAACCAGCGGCTTTCAGATCTTCCAGCCGAGAAGACACGGTGCAGGCAACTTATTACCCCCAGAAGAGCTTCCCCGACAAAGGACCCATCAACGGGATCGAACAGCTCCCCAAAACCACCACCCCTGCCTACAACCGCTTCACCGCCTCTTCCAAACCTTACACCAGCGCGGCCCGGCCCTTCGAGCGCAAGTTTGAGAGCCCCAAGTTCAACCACAACCTCTTGCCAGAGGAGACGCTCCCGAAGCTCTCTGAGATACCTTCAGCCAAGCCTCAACCTTCTCCCCAGCCCCTTCTGAAAGCACACGGCTCCGCTCAGCCCGAGTTCGAGAGCAACCTGGAGAGCTTCTCTGGCCAAGGAGACAAACTCAAGTACCAACCAAATAACATCAGTGCCGTGCCGAAGGCCATCCCCGTCAGGTAAGCTGGGTCCCCTGAAGGATGTAGGGTGGTGCATTTGACGCTGGTCGTGTCATGGCTGTTTGGGGCTTTCCACAGGTCGGTGGGGGGAGCTGGATTCACTTAATGACCATGTGATTCGCTTAATAACTGTAGGGATAACTGAGTGGTGTGGTGGCCTAGAGAGGGAGCTCTTTCCTTATAATCAGGAGGTTGTGAGTTCAATCCTAAATGCAGACAACATAAATAGTATAAAGAGTAAAATGCAAGTAATTAGGGGGAAAGAAGAAAGAAAAAGGAAAACTAATCATACGTTTCCGTGTGTGCGTGGGGTGATTGTGATTGTGTTTAAGAGTCTTGACAGCCCAAGGATAGAAATATCTGCTGAACAAAACTCTCTGCTCCACTCCGTTGCCCCAACTCCACCCCGATGCAAGGGTTTACGGGGTCATCAAAAGACATTCTTGATAATTGTACAAGATATGTTGTCAAATTGGGCATGACTCGCTTAGCGATGGCCCCGATTAGCAACTGAAATTCAGGTCTCAATCGTGATCGCAAGTAGAGGGCTACCTATGTATGAACGGCGGGCCCGGGATAGGGGCTGCTCCTCTGTCCTGGTCCTATTAGACCTCTCGGCGGCTTTCGATACCATTGACCATGGTATCCTACTGCGACGACTCGGCAGGTTGGGAGTGGGGGGCACCGTTTTACGGTGGTTCTCCTCCTACTTGTCGGATCGGTCGCAGTTTGTCTTGACTGGAAGGCAGGGATCGACCCCGAGGCGCGTCACTTGTGGGGTGCCCCAGGGGTCGGTTCTCTCACCCCTCCTGTTCAACATATATATGAAACCACTGGGTGAGATCATCNCCTCCCATTTTCCCACCATAGAAAACGCATAGCAGAATAATAGAAAGTGTGGCAGGCCAAAAATCCCCCCAAAATATGGCTTCAGGCCTGACAACCACGGCAGAAAAGATTGTAAAATCGGATCAGTTAAGTGGCCGACCCCTTATATGCCCGTTGCAGTTTTAAGAACCACGATGCACTGGTCCCTTACAGCCGTAACTCGAGGACTTCCCGTAGATCATGGTGAATTTAGCAGGGAAATGGAAGAGAATTGCTTAGCGAGAATCTGACGGGTTACCCTGTGTCTGGCCCCCGTTTCCCTTCCCTTTTCCCCCACACGAAATCCACCAGAAATGCTCTTGTTTTTATTCCTGGCTGACTTAATTGTCCTTTGGAGAGAGGAATATTAACCCGTCCAGTTTCACAATCCAAAGAAAACACACACACCCAGCACACAACCCACGTAGAACATACCTCTGTCAGGATTGTGGGGTGATTATAACTAATAGCCGTAAGCCGCCCAGAAATCGCCTTGTGGGTGAGACAATTTAATAAAAGAATAATAATGTTTTTGATGCACTGGGAGAGTCTCAGCTTGACCGAAACCTGTTATTTTAAACACTCCGCAGAAAGCAGAGGCTTCTTCACCCCCCTACCTTTCCCCGTCGCCTGAAACGGGGGGCCCGGCCTCTTCGATGCCCGCCGCTAACCCCTGCGTAAGCCTCCCCAATGTCAGGCTGGAGGAAGCGGGAGCACCCCCCTACAACTCGTACCAGCCACAAGCGGGGCCCCTAAGGATGGCCGGCCCCGAGGCACCCCACATAGTGCTCAGAGACCCGGAGATGCCTTCCTTACCGCCGCACCTAGATTCAACCAAGGTACCCGGGGCTGCCGCCGCGGCCTCCTACGGGGGTCCGGGGGCTGCCCGTCAAAACGATCGCTTGATCGTGCCCGCTTTGCTTGCTTGCGTACTACAGCAACTCTTCACCGCTGCTTGGCCCTCTTTCCTTCCTGCCATCCGAAAGAACTTCCGGGGGGGGGGGGAATAAACCTAATTCGGGTGGGTGGGATGGAGATTGATTTGCATGCGTTCAAAGATCGATCCTCAAATCCGCGGCGTTTCGCATTTCAGCGCTTCACAGTTTGAATCATTTTTATTTTTCGTTCCTTTGCTTGCGTTGATGCGCCGTGGCTGAAGCTCCCTCCTCTTCCTTTGTTAACGCACTTTTTCAGGAAATCGCAGATAATAATTGATAATAACGCGGGACTTTTTGGGGGGGGGTTGAAATAAATAAATGGGTTTGGGTCGCCCCGTATTTTGATCAGCTGTGTGTGTTGGAAGGGGGCGGGGGATTGACCATCTCAGGACTGTTTGATTCAGAGCTTCCCTTATCAAGGGCTAAATTTTTAGGAGGAGGAGGTGGTGGTTCGTTAGGCTGATTTTGACGACCGGTTTATCCGGCCCTCCTCGCTTAGCGGCCACCATTGGATCTGGCAACTCTGTCGCGGAGGGGTGGCTGTGGTATGTAAAACCGCCACCGTGCTTTTGCCATCCTTGACTAAAAGCTTGGGAGGGTCATAAAGGTGAGGATTGGTTGTCCGGTTGCTGGGCGAGGCAGTCACTGAGCGAGGACTGCCTGTCAGCTTTTGGAAACTGGCTGAGGAACTCTGGGAGTTGAAGTCCACCAGCCTTAAACTTGACAAGGTCGGAGACCCCTGCTCCAGATGTTCAGCAATATCTGACTGCAGCAAAACTCTCTTTTTCCCCCAGATGTACCGGAAAGAGCCCTTCGTCAACGAGGACCTCCCTCGTCAGAACTTTGCCTTGAAGCAGCCAGGACAGAGACAAGAGAAGGACCCGAATCTGACCTACGAACTGCAGGGTCCCTACCCGGAGAAGCCGGCCAACCGGGATTACGAGCCCCTGGCGTACCGCTACGACTCCTCCAACTACGTGGACCCGTTCCCCCACGGCTACGACCCTCGCCTGCCCTACGAGGAGCGGGTGCCCCCTTACGAAGACCACTGGATGTACTACGAGGAGAAGCAGCCCTACCAGCCTCGGACGCCGTACGAGAGCCAGCCGCCCCGGGATTTCGACCCTCGGGCCAACGCCGAAGAGAGCGCGGCGCGCAGCGGCTACTACGCGGGCCAGCCTCACTTCGAAGACGCGCCTCCCGTGGCCTACGACAGCCGGCCCCACTACGAGCCCGGCCCCAAAGCCTTCAACCTCTCCCAGCTGAGGTACGAGGAGCCGCCTCCCCCTGGCTACGAAGTCCACGGGAGATACAAGTCGGAGCCCCAGCCGTACTCCGCCACAGTGCCCCGCTCGCCCGAGCCGAAGCATTACTACGAGTCGCAACCGCGAGGCTACGAGCAAGCGCCCCCGCCGGGCTTCAGCACCAAAGCAGCCCCCTACGATGCGTCCCTCGGCAGCGGGGGTGCACACCCGGCCCTCCCTCCCCAGGGCAAGCCCGAAGCCATGCCTTGCAACAGTAAAGCACTGCCCACCCCACCCACCGAGGAGGAGGACGACCCGGCCATGAAGCCCCAGTCAGTGCTCACCCGGGTGAAGATGTTTGAGAACAAGCGCTCCTCCTCGTTGGAAAAGATCAAGGACTCGAACGATGTCTCGGCGGTGAAGGTAGAGTCTCGGGAGGGGTCTGGGCAGCCTCTTCCTCTCCGAATGTCTGGTGGGATTTAGGAGGGCTTTGGGGATTTGAGAAATAACACGTGGGGAGGTAGTTAAAGCTCCTCTCTCTCCATCCCTCTCATTCCCATCTCCCTCCCTCCCTCCTTCCTTCCTTCCTCACTCGCTCCTTCCTTCCTCTCCTCCCTCCCTTCCTCTCTCCCTTCCTTCTTTTCTCCCTTCCCTCTTTCCTTCCCTTCTCTCCTTTCTCCTTCCCTCCCTTGCTTTCTCTCCTCCCTCCCTGCCTTCNGGGGGGCAAAAGGCTGATTCTCTCAACCGCCAAGAGGGGAGTGTAAGAGCACTATGGAGCGGTATATAAATCCAAGTGCTATTGTTATCCCATAGGCAGGAATTCCTTGGAAGTATGGGGTGCTTAGCGCTCTTTGAACGTGGCTGCTTTCTCGCAGACATTTCATCACCCAACTGGGTAACATCATCAGCGCTGGGTGATAATCTGCAAGAAAGCAACCACGCTCCCAGAGCCCTCCCCATTTCAACCTGTGCTACCAAACCTCTCCTCTATCGATGCTCGAAGTGTTCCCGGGGCCGCCTGAGATCAGAACAGCAACCTGAAAATCTTGTTACGTCTTCGCTTGTCCCCTCCCCTAAAGCGGGATCTGGTTTTTTACATTCTTGTTATCTTTTTAACGGTACTGTTGTCCCAAGATGTTCCTTCCCCCCCCCTGTTGATGATGGATACTAAACTACCTCGTTGTTTTCCTCCCACAGGTGACCCCAAAACTTGGCAGAACAAGTCTCTTCCCGGAGATCCCAATTATCTTGTTGGAGCCAATTGTGTGTCAGTTCTAATAGATCACTTCTAACCCTTTTTAACCTTAGTGAGTGGATCTTGAGTGCGGAGAAAAAACAAAACAAGATTTTTTTTTTAACAAAAAAAGAAAAAATCAGACCAAAAACGAAATAACAAAACCAACCACCTGCATAGAAACTGAACCACTGTTTTTCCTCAAGTATTAACCGTTCTCCTAGTATTAAGCAATCTCTGGTTTGACTAACCGCAGCTTAGTCAGAACGTTTCTTGAACCGTGATCAGGGTACATGCCTTTGCAGCAACTAAACCGGTCAGCGGGGGCCACGCCACGTCCTGGCGGCCGAGCCCCTCACCTTCCTTAAAACGGGACACTTTTAACGCATCGTAGCTTAAAACCTTAAAACTACCACCGAAGCAATGCAATTTAGTGTTTCTTCCCCCTCCTCCTCCTCCCCACAGAGGTTCATAATTGACTGTTGAATTAGGGGGGGGGTGACCTCCCCCCATTCCCCCCCCCTTTTTGTTGTTGTGTTTCTTTTATTTGGTCTCTTGTTAAAAGTTTTCACCTCCTTTTCGTTTCTTTCCTTAATTTAAAACACCGGACACCTCGGAGCATCCTTAGAAATATGCAAAGATGACATCCATTCCTTCGTTCTCGTTTTTTTGGGGGAACCCAGCAACCTGAGAGTGAGGGGTTTCCCACCCCACCCCTTCCTCTGTGTTTTTGCCCTTTGGAGGACAAAAAAAGATGATTTTTGCTAGCACAATAGTGGGAAATTTGTCCTTCCTTTGCCCAGGATTACTTTACCTGTCAAGTTCACCTGTTTGTGTGAAAAAAACCCACCTCTTTCCCACGGCTCCGAGAAAGAGAAAACGCACGGGGGGGCAAGGGGGTGTTGTCTCTGGTTCATGTGCCTCTCTCAATTCACCACATCTGTGACAGACATACTTAGCGGTGTTGCCTTATCCTCCTGCTTTTAACGTAGTTTCCATCCTCATCGTAGCTCACCGTACTACTACTACTACCACTACTCCTACATTGGTAGGGCTTCCGTACTGACCTAAGAGAAATTACCACTCGGGGGGGCTGGGGGTGTGTGTGTGTGTGGAGAGATGGGTGGTTTGAGGGTCACCAGAAGAGAGTTAGTGACATCCTGGGTTTTGCATTGTTTAAAGCCGAGGGGAATTCTGGAGAACATAACTGATGGTAATATTTTTCTTTCTTTTTTTTATTTTTCTTTCTTTTCTTTTTTTATTATTAATTTTCATTTCGTTTCCTGCTGTGCATTTTGGGGGGAAAAATTTATAGATATTCTAGATTGCTTGTATATAAAAAAAACTTGTGCGTACCACTTTTGTTCTTGGTTTGTAAATTAACTTTTATAAGCTTTACCTTTTTTATATATATATATAATATATACGAGGATATGTATTATATATATATAGATATATATATATATATAATACAAAANCTAGAGAGGGCTGAAAGCTATTCCTAACTGCTATTGCTAACTGTTGTAAGTTGAGGACTATCTCAAGAATTTACACTCCCTTCTGAATTCGGAGGAGTTAACGGAGGGCCGAACGCTTTGCAAGGCATTTTAAGCGGGGAGAAATCTTGACCGCAGGTGGGATTCCCCTGGGCTCCCCTGAAGTAGTAAGAACGAACCCCCCCCCTCTCACTCCCCCCCCTGAAGAGGGGGGGGCGTCTGGTTGTGCTTGGAGCACAGAAGTCCCTGGTGCAAATTTTGAGCAATTTTCCGATGGGGGCTTCAAACTAAGAACCTTGAAGGGGGGGGGAAAAAAACAGCCAGGAAGGCTGTGACGGATGAAACAATCATTTTTAAAAAGGGGGGGGGGTATTTTCCAGCCACGCAACCGTTAAAAGATATTTGGCATCCTTCAATGTATACATATCTGCATATGGTATCTATAGAAGCAATGTATTTATGTGTGCAGTATTTAAAAATGTATTCCGAATTGTTCCGCTGGTGTATAGCCTCATGCCCAATGCCAGTGGGTGGGTGGAGGGGAAATCCAGAGCAGCACTGAGTAATATTCACTTAGGAGGTCCAGTTATGTAGCGAAGCCGTAACTGGGCTCATTTTGACTGGAATTCAGTGCTTCGTTTGCATGCTGCTTGGGGGGGGGTGTCAACACCCCTCTCCCACCCACCCCCTCTCCAAAATTGGGAAGTCTTAGAAAAAGGGAGCAGTTAACTCCCAGGACGCCTTCAGACCCTGCTTTTTCGATCTCTCTTAATTTTGTAACGAAGGAAAAGAGGGTCTTACGGTGGGCCCGCCACGTACCCCCCCCTCCCCCTTCTCTCTCTCCCCCTCCCTCTCCTGCGCTTCTGCCTTTGGGGGGGTCTTTGCTGGGTGCTGCTGTGGTGTGTGTGAGGGTGTCGGTGTTAAAGCACTTTGCCTTTTTTCCTGTTTGTTACTCTGGCATCTTTGCAGCTTAACCTTCATTCAGTGTGCTGTTGCGTTGCTCCACCGGACAATTTTCACCACTGGCCAAAACTCTTTGTCTTTCTGATGTGTAAAAGCCATACAAATGTTTTAAATAAATACGTTTTCTTTTCTTTTTTCTAAACCAACCAACCAACCGACAGAACGAAAACTAAAATCAAAAAATAAGAAACTTTCTCTTCTTAATTGGTGCCGGGATCTCTTTCTCGCTGTCTCCTTTTCTTTCCTGAGCTCCTCCTAACATGTTTTCCATGCTCTTTGTCTTTCTCGAAATGAACATTTTATGACGCATACTAACCTCTCGCAACACATCATGTTTTACCAAAAACAAAAAAAAAATGTTCAAATGTGCTGGCCACATTTATCCTTCCGATTATATTGTTTTCCAATTGTTTGGTTTCCATCTCATCTCATGAAGCACAAGAGGGGGGAAACTTCACAACTCACTTTAAACCCCACCCGTAGCACCCTGAATCCTTGAATGGTAGCAGCCAAGCGCTTCTCGGAGGGGGTTCCACCACAAATGCGCGCACAACAAAAGCGTGCCTGACTAAACCGCGGTGTCTAAAGCGCGGTTACAGAACCGCGCGACGAATGAGCGACTAATTAGCCCCAAAGCGCGCCGACAGAAGCGCGCTGTAATGTAACCCTCAACCTAACCCTCAACTTAACCCTAAACCTAACCCTAAACCTAACTGTAAATCTTACCTTAAATGAAATCGCGCTTCTGTCGGCGCGCTGTTGTCGGCGTGCTTTTGAAATCGCGGTTTTAGCGCCGCGGTGTTGTCGGTGCGCTTATGACGTTCGCGCTTTTGACGAGTCACACTCGGAGGGGTTTTTCTCTGAACTAACCATGAATCTCCCGTGTTCACACTGCCGTTTCCTTCCACGTTAAAAAAAAGAGGGGGACCTCTGAATACCGATTCGTCTGCCAAGTCTCCAACAGCTTCCCTCTCCTCCGTTGCCCCTGGGAGTTGGAGACTTGTAGTGCTAACACTCTGGTGGATCTCAGCTTCCAAAGATGATGATCCACGTTGGTTTCTCAACCAGCCGTTGGATGATTTAGCTCAGGTGCTGAACGGTCTACTCGGTGTTAAAGTAGACATTTGACTTTAAAATGTTGTGTTCCCAAAAAAAACCAAAACCTGAAAAACAAAATATTTGGGGAGCTCTGAATTAACCCACAATTTGCTCTTTTAAAGAATTAGGAGCATTTTTGGGGGGGGCTCTCCTAAACGTGGGCTCGCTTTTGCAATTCCAAGGAGGTCGTAATGCAAGGGTCTCCCTTCCTGTGTGTCGCAATTAACACCAGCACCTGGGTCGTAGTATGGATCGCTGGTTGGGTTTAACGTGCATACGGAACTGTGTGTGCCTACGGAACAAGAACTGGGTGGGTTTGGAAGAACGTTCTTGTTTGCCCACATCATTCTGGTGTTCTTGAGTGTCTGTGAAATTCCCAAGAGTTTCAGGGAATTGCACGTCCGTCAAAGATAAGGGGGCAAAGTAGCGGAAATCGATACGGAGCTTAAATTAAACAGTAGATAATTGGGACTGCTCCAAGGAAGAAACAAGTAGAAAGAAATCAGGGTAACTCCGGTTGCATCTTAATCACTCTGGGAGCGCAGGGGTTAGAATGCAGTATTGCAGGCTAACTCTGCCCACTTGCCATCAGTTCGATCCCGATGGGTTTCAAGGTTGACTCAGCCTTCCACCCTTCCGAGGTGGGTAAAATGAGGACCCAGATTGTTGGGGTTTGCAAGAGGCTGACTCTGTAAACCGTTCAGCGAAGGCTGTAAAACACCGGGAAGCATTATATAAGTCTTTAGTGCTATTGCTAAATGCTATTAATCCAACATAAGGCAGGTAGTAACTTAACCTGTTAAGGTTGCCTTGGGCATCATACCCTAGAAGTAAATTTTAGCTTTTGTTTCTAAACAATCTGATTTCCGTGCGTTTGCAGAAAGATTCCGAGCTGGCCTAAAAAGTGAGGTTCGACATGGCTTAGAAACCAAGGTGCCATCATAACTTGGCTTGTATTTCAATAGCTACATTAGACCTAAAACCAACATGGCATCCATGAAGAGCGTAGGGCTCTGTGATGGGACTATATTATAGCTAGAGGAAACGGTGGTGTGGAAAGGAGGTGACAAGATTGTGATCCTCAGCGACAATTCGTAGCAGCCACAACTAATAACGGTTAATAGAGACAGATGTTAAAAGTCACGGGGAAAACGTTGGTTTGAGTGACCCCCCCCCCCCCAATTCTTCATTCTGTTTTGCCCTTTGGAATGGAACTTCAAGAGGTTTGGGTTTCCATCCCGTTGTCCGGGTGGGTTTATTTGGAGCAAAACGAGCAAAGAAAAAATTAGCACAGGTTGTGGGAAACCGGTACAGAGTTGGAGTGTCAGTCCTGCAGGAGAGTTGCCTGACACCCCACAAATGCATTTGAGAGGTCTACATGGCCCCCTCTAGGAGAAAAAGTCTTCTCCTACGAGGCAGGTATGGACNTTCCTTTTTTTCTTCCCTCCCTCTTCCCTTCCTTCCCTTCACTCCTTCCTCCTTCCCTCCCTTCCTTTCTCTCCTTCCTCCCTCCCTCCCTTTCTCTCCTCCCTCCCTCCCTGCCTTCCTCCCTCCCTCCCTCCTTCCTTTCTCCTTCCCCCTCTCTTCCTCCCTCTTTTTCTCCCCTCCCTCCCTTTCTCTCTTCCCTCCTTCCTCCCTTCCTTCTCAAGGACACCTATTTTATGCAATATCAACCTAACATGGTCCACATTGCAATAATTTGGGTCGTGCCAATTTGCCAGGGCAGGTGGGTTGAATCAAGAGGAGGAGTGGATGTGGCTGAAATGGGGGCCCCCTCTTTTAAAGCGCCACGCCCTCGCTGGAGCGGCTCCTCCTTACACACAGGATGCTGGTTTGTCCAGACAGAAGTCGTAAAACAAGCACCTCCCTGGGGTTGTGGCCATTCGTTTCTGACTTTCTGCCTCTTTGCTTTTTAGCATCATCCGGAACTTGCGCCTAAGCCAAACGTGGCCCCGCTGACCGGCCCCAAATCAGCCTCTCAAAACCCGAGCGACAAATCAGCTTACAGGTAAACGCAGGTGGAAGGGGGGGGTGCACACCCTCGGCACACAAGTGTCCCGTGGAAACCCTGGCCGCCACTCTGGTGTCCGCTTCCTTTCGCCAAGAGAGTCCTCCGTGGCTTCTTCCTTTTTAAACGATCCCAAGCTTAGATGTAGTCCTCGCTTACTGGCCTTTTGGTCATTGAGTGAAGCAGTCCTTCAACGAAACTGTGACTTAGGATCTGGCTTTGGCTTTCCTTCACTCTGCAGACCTGTGGAGAATCCTAAGCCTAGAGTTGCTTTTTCATCACGGCCGTAAGCTGCGAAAGGTCATTAAACAAGGACTACCTTTTCACCCAAAAGTGCTTCCTACTTTTTGCACAAATCTCGGGAGTTTCTATAGCACAATTTGGGGCTATTTTCCCCTCGTGTGTGAAAGGCGCGAATGGTTCTCTCTCCCACCCAAATCCCGCTGTTAAGTTTTTTATTTTTATTTCTCATACGTACATTGACAAATACACAATCTCATAACTCTCATTAATAATGTGTGTTGTCTTTTAATATCTATAAGAGTTTTTCCTCCTCCTAAAGTTAAAAATATAATCAAGATTGCTTTGCTATTGCTTTGAAGGAAGGAGGGAAGGAAGGAGAGAAGAAAGGAGGGAAGGAAGGAGA